CCCCCAAGCAGGCCGAGGCGCAGGATTACATAGGGGAGCTATGGCATCAGCCATTCCGCGGCTAGAAGAGACCGGCCGGGGTGGGAAAGGACAGGGATGGGGCCGGGCCGCTTCGGGATTTGCGGCCTCCACCCCTGCCCCGGCCGCCTAGGTCCGGCTGCCGGGATGCGAGGTTGATGAGCCGTTATGATTATTGCTTGGCGGGTGCCTGTAGGTGGGGGAAGGTTAGGAATCTCCGGCTTCCTTTGGGATCATGGCTGCTATGGGGAAAGAGGTATGCGTGGTTCTCGCGTTTGCCAAGCAGCTTCTGGGCTTACAGATGAAGGATGTAGGGAGGCATGGGCAAGGCTTCATTATCAATTTATCATGCGGACCCCTTGGGCGGATCTTGTAAATGGCATGCGTCCGTTATAAATGCCCCGCTCATTTATACGCTGGCAAGGGTACAGACCTATTGTGGTTCTAGAAGCTTTTGTCAACTAGACTGGTAGTCTTGAGGTAGAGTCGCCTTTGAGTTTGGGAGTGCTCATTGACGACCTCGTTATCACACAGCCATGCCTTTGAGGAATAGTTTGCTAAACCCCAAATACAATTCGAGACTATTTATTTATTTGTGCCAAAACCGTCAAACGTTATACTGATATCAAGAAGCAATACGCACAGAGTATGTCTGGTGGCTTTATCGGTTAGAAAAATTGTGTTGTGCGAATCAATTGGATATAAATCGAAGCCCTTGTATCAAAATCCAGAGCAATGACAGTTTGTAAACGACTTTCTTAAGCTCTTGATGCTCAAGATATTCATGAAACATCCATGATATACGTAAGTGTTGGTAGTATAGAAGACGCGGTCAGTGCGTCGGGCAAAGCCCTCGGCGTCTGTCGCCTTGCAACCCAAGGAACCATCGAGCAAAGACGCATCTACAAGATTATCATTACGCATTCAATTATTATATTGTTTACAACTAGAATAGTATTTGTCTTATCCGTTAGGATACCCGTCCACCCGTGTGGATTTTGTCCAGGCACACACAACCCCACCATTCTCCGTATCTCGTCTCAACTCAATACCACCTCACGCAATTACCCCAGCTTCTAACTTTTCTCCTTCTTCATACACTTCATATCTTCTTATTCATCCTCATCACCCTCTCAGCCTTGACTAAAACTCACTCAATTGTCCAGCTTTCCCCCCTCCTTCATCCATCTCACAAGCTCTTGTGGCGGTCAACCATTCCGCACCCATCCAACATCCCACGTAGTACACTACCATTCTTATGTCATTCCTGTTTCTCTCAGAAACACCATATCCATTCTCCATGGCTGTACTTCCCGCACACTCTCCTCCCATTCGTCGCTTCGTCCTCAGGCTATCTACTCTCCCAAGCGAATCATCTCACCCCCAATACCTCGAGCGTCCTCGCAATCCATTGGTCGGTCATCACGCCCCCCTTTCAGCGCATCATGATCACCATCCCGTAACACCGCAGATGCCGGGCTTACACCAACTCTCATTTCAAAGAAGACGGGATGGATAGACACGCGCGCAGCTGGGCAAACCGCACTCCCCCCCATCTCTCCAGCCCTTTTCTCGTCGTCGCACAGACCGCCAAGACGGGGCCGAAAAGAAGATAGCCCGAGTGAAGCACGCCCCCGAAAATCAGAAACAAGCAGGGTCACGCTCACGCATAGGTCGAGCTGAAGCGGCAGTCTGAAAGAGTCGGTGTGATGATCAGTGGCTGTCCGGTAGGGCATATGTGAGACACGAACCGGTCTAAGATTGTCCGCCATCGCGTGGAGGCCGAGTCAATGCTTTACGAGAGAATAAAGGGAGAGCACCCAGTAGGCTCGCAATCCGCGGTACGACGCTGGCGCAGGTCGTGTGAAAGCTTGCGTGTATCGCTGTGGCTTTTTTTGTTCCTTTGGTCTCGTTCTGCCCCGGTATCCGGCAGCTCAGTCACTCACTCACGCCCGAGCCTTACCACAGGACTTGAATCCAATCTCCGCTGAAAGATGAGACCACTTTTAGGAAGGGAAAAATTGTCTTTCCTCAATTCTTCCTCCGCCAAGTGTCATCCAAGCATCACGAGGAACGAGTTTAGCACCCGCCTAAACGGGGGCGAAAACACAGAAAAGGGAAGCAAGGCAAATCCAAAAAAGAGTCACTCTCATGTAAACTTTCCATTGGTGCCTTTCAACAAGGAAGAGACAGATGAGAATTACATGTCTTGCCTTGTCTTCCAGCAGATGATTCACAGCCGCTTGTACCCCCCTTCTCACTCTCCCAGCCAGCCTCAACCCGTCTGTGTGTAATGAATGACACAGACACCATCCAGCAGAAGAGAACCCCGATCCCAGAGAGAGGGAGAGGGAGAGAGAGAGAGAGAGAAGGAGGAACAAAAAAACGACAAGGCCCTCGGGGTCCAAGGCCACATGATCAATCTCGATAGAGGGAAATGGGCTGGTTCCGCGCCTCCTTTTCGCTGTGACACGCTTTCATTTCGCTCATCCTTCTGCCTGTGGGTAAGAAAGACGAGGAGGGGCGTGGTTTGTTTGCTTGTACTTCCTCCCGTTGAACCAAACAAGTCCCCTCTTCACAGCGGCTTCCCACCTCGGCGACTTAACAGCTTCCTTGACTGTGAAACTTTTTCTCCCCAGAGTCTGTGGGCAGGTTGTGGCTGGGTGAAAAAGCAGCTTTCCACTGCTTACACTCCACAAAATGTATGAAAACAGCAACTCATATTGCTGCAGCATCTCCCCGTGGGGCAGCTGTCGGTACCCGTGTGCGGAAGGTCATCTTTTACCCCCCTGGTACTCAATTCATCGGGAGAGAGAAAGGGGGGGTAAGTCGCGGGCCAGTAGATTTCATCTCACTCCCGCGTTTTCCTTTGCAACCCTCTATGAATGAAGGGGGCTGGACGAGCATTTGCGAGAGGATGGTAGCGCAGCAGCAATGATGCCGACAGAATCGTGCGTGCGTACAGGTACAGGGAGGTTCCATGGCGAGCAAATCGGGGATGGGCTCAACCTGGAAAGGTCGATGAGGTTGGAACAGACTGAACTGAGACTCGCATAGCGTCTGTGTTATAGTTCCTTTCCGTATCCCATCTGTGAGTCGATGTGGTTTCTTGGGGAGCTGATGAAGAACATTGGTGCTTACACCGGCCATGTACCCAACACGATGTTATTGCAATGTCTTTAAACCGGAGAGGCTTGCGTCATAATGTCGTTTCTACTATTCACGACAACGAGTATCAAGCAGTCATTGGTATTCTAGATAAATGAACGTGCTCAGAAGAGTCAATGGACCCCAGCGAGCTTCAGGCAGTTTGCTATCAGCAAAGTTTCTGCCAAGTCACCGCCAGCACGCTCGCTCAACATGGCTGGTTACAACCAGAGTTAATGTGCCCCCATACACAGAATGAATACGAGTTGATGTTCTGGGCATGTTCAACCACACCACAGTGCCCCAGAGCCAAGCCAATCTCCACGGGGTTCAACAGAGGAACAACGACACAAAAATAAAAAATGGGCGTCGAAGAAGCTACCTGTTTGTCCGACGGCCCTGACCCAGTAGCAATGCCGGAGTCGAAAAACGGCCCTTGTTCATGTGAAAGTCAATTTCATCATGGTACACCCTCTCTGCCTCTGTAGTGAGCCAATCTTGCCGTGTGATACCCTCTAGGAATAGATGGTCAGGTAACCCGAGGAAGAACAGTCTCAGTTTGGCCGGCTAGTAGCTTGGTTGATGCCGTTGCCTGGAATAAATTGAAAATGAAAATACAGATAATATATAAAATGAAATAAAATATAGGAATAAAGATAAAATCTCATGGAGTGGCAAATCCATAGTGACACTAGATTGGGGGTTCTTTTTTTAATAATTATATTATATCAACATTATCATTATTATTTCTCATTACTAGTATCTTCTCAGCTGAATTCCCCCTGATGCTGTGCCGTTTGAGATGGTGTATCCTTGCAGCCGCTCCAGCTCTCAGCAGCGCTCGGCTCAGAGCAAGATCAGATGCTGCCAACACCACCCGAAAACTACCGTTTCACATGCTCGGATAATTCACTGAGAGAGAGAGAAATCAAGAATTTGCCATCGTTTTCATGCGATGATGTCTGGTGCCTCGGACGTCTTGTCACAGGGCATCATACACTCACTCTTACACTCATACACAGAGCGTCTAAAGATGAGTCTCTCGGGCGATGCCGGAGTCACTCCGAAAAGAGGCTGTCCGTTTTACACGTGCCCTCGAGATTCCTCGCCAGTCGATCAACCCGCTAAGCTGCGACCTCGGTGATGAAGAAGGGAAGCCCGCGTATCCCGTCGCAGCATGCAAAATGCCCACGCCAATTGGTCAGATCCGGCTCAGCAGGCAAGGCGCAATCACCAAAATAACAGGCACGTCGGCGACCAGAAAGCGGAGCCCCCACGCGGCAAGAGTCGTCAACAAATGGCGTGCTTTTTTCATGGCTTGTCACCAATGTGACGAGCAGAAATTTGCCTTGGCTGGGGGTTGCTTAAGATGAATGATGAAGAAGCAACACACGTCTTTGGACGAAAAACACCGTCTCTTTCTGGCGATGACATTCCACGGCTTGGTAGACACCCCCCCCTCTATGGCCACGAAGGATAACCAAGTAAAACAGGGTGCAAGGACCCCCCAAGTTCGCGGGGCCTATCAGCTCAGGCACAAAGACCCTGCGAGAATACATGTAAGCAGAGCAACTCAATTCGATCAGATGATCTCTCGGGTGCGGCCCGGTCGCGCTGTGTCAGGTCCTTTTTTTTTTCTCCTTGTTAGACATTTGAAGCGCCACTTCCGCGGCCACATGGGGGCTACGGCACAGAGTTTTGCGAGAGGATGGTCATGATGGCCAACGTAATTTTGACTTGGGATGCTCATCATGGCAGCTGGGTCGCGGAGTGAAGCTGGGCGACGGCTCAATTCTCTTCAACTGCCTGTTCTCCTGCCTGACAAGTTTCTAACGTCATTCGCCAGGATACGGGTAGTAGTAATATGCATGCATGTATGAAATAGCTCTGCGAGCTGGCCACTGAAGACGTGTAGATGCATCCTGCTCGCGGGATCCGCGGCCTGCGAATCCGCCCGAAAGCACAGCGACGGCCCTGATAGTAGCTTGAGTAGATACGAGCAGCCGCACACCCCGACTGATGTTTTTTGCTTTTGATTTTGCTTTGTCACAGCCGCTCATCGTCGTTTCAGTCATCATCTGACAGCGATCCTCCTCCACGCGGGGGTCCGGCGCCTGAGCAGGCCAAGCCCATCGGTGAAGCATCCAGGCAAATGTCAAAAGGTCATGAAACAGCCTAAGGGCCATGTTGAAGATGCATCTGGCCAACCCTTGGGGGCTGGATTTGCGCAGAGGCGGATAGCTTTGGGACATCAAATGATAAGGGGCGGGGAAGGCGGAGCGGGCGCCATCCTGCAGCGGCCACGTAGGAGCTCGAGGTCACTTGATGCATTTTCCATGGACGGTTCGAGCAACGCAAACAAAGACGGTCCGTCAGGCTGTGCCACTTTGCGAGGTTTTGAGCGCAGCTGGAGATGGAGATGGCGATGGAGCCTTATCACGAGTACGGTGATGCTCTGCGGCGACCGACGCATGACATGAGCCTCGCCTGTTCGGTGCCCGAAAGCAACAAGAGCTGAGGCAATTCCGTTGCCTTTGCTTTAGGCAAGCGAAAGGTCACCACCGTCTCGGTAGGCCGGACCGTTTCTGGACAGAATGAGTCGTTGACAGCATGACGATGCCATCGATCGCCAACACTTGCCTCGATATATTAGCGTAGAAGCCATTTGCGTGCCAGAGAGTTCATCTAAAGCCCCCCCGTTAGCTGGTGTACCATGTAGACAACGAAAGAATTGGTCTGCCACCCAATACAAACGTACCTTGGCCATGGTATTTGTCGTCGGCCTTGGCCCCCATCATGCAGCCTGCAGTCATCTGCCAGTCCGTATCAAACCGCTGGAACTGCCGCGGTTGGATGCAGGCAAGCATAGTGACGGGGTCATGATGCTCTCAGACCACTCGGACAAGGCGACGGGACCATCCTCAAAGCCTTCCTCATCGAGGAGGTGCTAAGCTGGACTAATCACTGGAAATGAAGCAACGAGGACGAATCGAGCAGTGAGCGATGGCAGATGGCCTGAACCGGTGCCTGGCAGAATAGCGCAAGGTAGATGCCGGGAGATCAAAGGCAGGCCAACGCAAATTGTGCAGACGCTCGGGCGGAGTCGTTCATCTGCCCTACCGAAGCGATGCGAAACGCTGTCTGTCTGTCAATTGATGACACAGATGGAGTCACAGACGTTGTGCCCGTGGAATTGAGAAGAGAAGGGACAATGGGCGCGAGATGAACCAACAACTGCTTGTCATTAGCCAGCCCGTCAAGCCTCTTCCAAGCCTCTTTTTCGCTGCCACTTTGCGGAGCCGCGATCGACTGCGGCCGCTGCAACCCCATTGGCAGCGAGACGGCCTTATTGTTGGACAGGATGTTTTGATGGTGGAAGTGCAGAAACGAAGAAAAAGTAATAATAGCAAAATGTGTTGCTTCGACCAACGCAAGGTGAGTAGTTAATTATTGGCATTAATTTTAAACTTTATTTCTTTCTTTAATTTCTTTTTTCCTTTTCCATTTTCTTTTCTTTTTTTTTTTTTCCAAATCTCCCTTTATCACTGCCACCAACGGCAATGTAACAATCAAAAGCAACCTGTCTGCCTGCCACTTACTATCAAAAGCGTCCCGAGAAATGTCACAATAAACCACCAGAGCCTCACAATCCTATTCACCTCGCCACCGGAATCCCGACGACGCGGTTCACCGGAAATCACCATCTGTCACCAATTTCATCGCAAATACGAATGCCTCTCACACGACCCTCTCCCACCCAAAAAAACGTTGCTGATGTGGCGTTGTCTCAAGGACAGAGATAAACCTTATCCCTCACTCCCTTCGATCGATGGCAGGGCAGGGCAGGGCAGTGAGACCGCTGACTCGAAACTCATCGTAGACATGCATAATGTTTTTATCTCGCGCGCGTGTAAGGCGGGTATCTCCATCTTGGATGCGCGACATGCACACAAGGCGGGCTGTTTGGGCCGCCGGCAGCATCTGCATCTGCATTTGCACTTACATGCCTCGCTGCGCGTAACCACGAGCATGCCAGCCCTACGAGCACAGAGCAGAGGGCCATTGCTCAGGCTGGCTCCATCGCCTAGCACAAGTATGTATAATAACATCTACCTAGAATACACGCAGCGAGAGTACCCAACGCCCAACGATACTTGTACAACTACCGCTGCGAGCACGCGCCAGAGGGCGGCTCCAGGTATGATTTCTATGTTACCAACACTCCAAAGCAATGCCGGCTCTTTCCGCAGTGTGTGAGGCTTCACATCCCATCGTCTATGCCGTACAATAGGATTGATCCCGTAGTTAACTGAAGGCCTCCAAAAACCACGGTTCAGTTCTGTTGGCCATCAAGCAACACGTTCGGCTCCCTCCACGGCGTTTGTCCGGAGCTACTCGCACAAAGGCCCGAAGTGGGCGGGCCAGTCTCCGTTCCAATCTGTGGAACAAAGGGGAAGAGATTCCGGTGTTGGGAGGCGGGCTTGACTTTGATTATGTGATTTACCATGTGCCTGGGACCTCAGAGGAAAAAAAGAAAATAGGTAAATTCCACAGACTGGATAAATTCCCAGTTACACTAGCTGGTCAATAATTATTTTATTGTTTTTATTATTTTCGCAAGTCATGGCACCCATTATTATTTTTTTCATCGGATTTTTGTTAGCTTAATTACTGTACGGAGACGAGAAAAAATTGCACCATATCACTCTCCACCAGGCCTCGTTAGCGCGTCCTTTTCGTATACCTCCCCCCCTTCCAGCCAATGCCTCTTTCTCGATACAAAGCAAGTGGGAATCCGCCGGTATCCGCTCAGACGATGGAAAAGTGACTTCTGTCAAAGTCACTGGTTCACTCAGAAACCAAGCCCAATGGGGACCGAATTAGTCCACCGACGAGTGGATGAAGCGAAGGTCTTTGCTTGATAGCTTGCGGAGCCGGTCCCCCGTTTTGGGTAATACGAAGTGTCTGTCTCTCAAGAGCCGGACAGACACCCGGCGTGGCAGAAACTTGGCATACTATCTAACGGCGGTGGCAGGCGTGGAGGTTCCCCGAGTTGACGATGGCTTCGAGTCAAGAACTAAGGGCCAAGAACCAGGTGATGAACAAAACACAAATCAAATAGTTTTCCCGGGTCACCAGTTTACATAGTACAGCCCTCCAAGCGGCGGGCTCCACGCCTTGTTGGTGAGGCTCGTCCGGAATCCCCTCCCGGGCCCCATTTCCCCGTAACCAAACACATGCAACATTGTAATTGTCCGTAATGTTGGCACAACCCAGTCCAGTCTCCATTTCAGCCTTTTTTCTCAGGTTCCGTTTGTTGCGTGCCCACATGATTGAAAGTTTTTCCAACTGGGATGGAGGGGAAAATACAAATGTACTCGTACAAAGAGCAGCAACAGCGAGATTATCCACAGCTGGCTTCTCCTCTCTTGCGTCGGATCCAGTCGGACTGTCGGGATGACACGGGTGGCGGCCCTGACATGCGCCCTGTGGCGCAGAACATGTGGGCTTCCATTTGTTCCATCCCAAGTGCCAAGTAGTACTCGGGCAGAGAACCGAAGCACATGGGGGACGAGGTGGGAGAGAGTAGTACTCGTAAGGATCCAAACGGTGGCAGCACGCACAGTACACACTGACTAGGAAGGTATCCGTGCTGATAACCAGCCATCTTTGACCGTATTTCCCTCCGTTCAGCGACCAGCCGCCGGGAAACGTGCCCATGGCAAATGAATCGCGGCTTCGGTTTTCACTCGGTTGATTGCTCGGGCTTGATCATTCTCTAGCCCTCCAGGGGGTCCCTGCATGTCCGTCAAGAACCACAAGGCTTGGACCAAGGGCCAATGGCAGCGCGCGTGAAGCTCAGTAGCCTCGTTGATGCGCTACGCCGGCTGCGGGGCCGAAAATGCCTTCAAACGCCCCCCCTCCTTAGGCAGGCAGAATTCTTGTAACAACAAGGGGATCGTCGGCCAACTAGTGCGGGCTTCTAGAAGGAAATTTGTTTCCGCCTGAGCCCAGCTGTGCTATGCTTTTCATGCTTTGACGAAGCTGTTTCGACCCGAGTCATGGTGTACAGCCCAGCTAAAATTAAACAACGCTCCCACGCAAGCCACGGAAGCAAAGCAAGACGCTGGGTGGGAGAAGCAAGAGAGGTGGCATGCCATTCGCACGCATGTACTGTCCACACGCAGGCCAGCAGAAAGGCGGTCCGATGCAGACCCCCCTTGGCCAGGCTGAAGAAACCGCCCTGCATGTTCCAGAAGAACGTTGAAGAAGTTCCTGACATTGCTCCCCGCTTTTCCCTTGGGCACTTCTGCTGCGCCAAAAGGCCTGTCAAGCAAGCCACCGGATGTAGAATCATGTTTGGAGTAATTCGCCCGCTCTTTCATGTGTTCCCTCGTCGATTGCACATGCCAAATGCCTGGTACTGTACATAGCATTCGTGGCAGCGGCTGATGGTACTATTCTGTAGCAAGACGCCGCCGTGGCTGAATCGAAACGTGCTATGCCTCTGCTAAATGCTCACGATCAACCGATAGTCTGGTGGAGGGGCATCAGAGTCCTGACTTTTCGGTCAATACCGTCCAAGCGCTTAGATTACCCGTTTGGGCAGTTATACCCCTTCCCAGGAGTTCGCCGCCGCGCGCTGCCCCTCCAGAGGCCAATTCCGCTAACAAAGAGAAAAATAAATAAAAAATAATGGAAAAAGATACTGTACATCCGCCAGAATACTGACTAAGACGTAATGCTGTACCCGCCAAAACCTGTCAAGGGCCTGACAGCTCGTTACCTCGTTACCTAAGGCATTCTGCTCACGTCATGTGCCTTTTCCTTTCAACCGTGTAGACGTATAGAATACGGTGGTTGCCTCCTTAGTCAGCGGTCACTTGACTTCAGGCCGTGTTCCACTTCAATGCCTTGAGTCATCCACAAACCGCAGCAAATGGGCTTCTCCATCAGACATGTCCCTGAAAGAGGCAATCCGGGTCAGAGGATAATGTCTCTAGCCTCGGCGGCCGAGATTATGGCATGTCAAAGGCGTGCCTAAATGGAAATAGGCCTCGTTTTACCCCGCGGGGAGGCGGTAGTCGATGGCTGATGGCAGAGATGGGGTTGCAAGGAGGATTGGATAGTCTGCTGATGGCGCATGTCGTCTTACCATTCGACTTGGCATGTGTCGTTGGCCACTATCGTGCATCGGAAGTTGAGCGATGCGCCTTGCCGGAAACGAGCCTCGGCTCCCTCCAGGATGACCCCGGCCCGACATTGACAGCACTTGATTATGCGAATACGGAGTAACCTGCCATTTGATGGATCAACAGTGGCAACAAATGACCTGAGAGCATGGGATTGAACTCCATATCGCCACCAACTTCCCCGCCAATTGATCTGCGATGCTTGAGCCGCAGCTCTCGAACTGCTGTTTACAGATGCGTTCGAGTCTGGACCGCAGATCAGCTTACGGTTACCCTGGATGCCAACTGCGCTAATCGGCGTCAAGTGCGGCTCCAAGGACGATGGCGAGCATATCGCTGCGGAACAGATGTCACGGCGGCTTCACGTGAGTTGTCAATGCATTACTCGGCAGCAACTCAATGCAGTTGATCAATGGGGAGGCAGCGTTCTAGACAATGGAATTTCCGAGAACGGGATATCCACCGGTCCAATTGCGGGAGTCATGTGACGCTAGCTGTTCCATTTGTACAGTGTTATTGATGGGCTCAGCCTCGTGATCTTCAGGAACTGGAGCGGCGAAATAAAATAAATCAATTGATCGAATAAAATAAAATAAAATAAAAACAAAATTAAATGAAAAATAGAAAGTGGACAATACTTGGAAGCAAAAGGACCGAGTGTCCAAAAGTTTATGCGACTTGTCTCCGTATTGCCTTTTTTCGATAGTTCGCCGCATCCTTTACTCGTGCAAAGCAATGGCCGCTTTCATCAATGCACACGCGTCCCAAACTCTACCCCTGGCAGATAAAAAGGAAAGCGAAAGTAAAATGATAAATAAAATAGAATAAAATAAAATAAAATAAATAAAATGCTATCAATAATGCCAATGCCTTGTAATTTCCATCTCCCCCACATCCTCCCATTTATTGCTCCATGCTGTTTCAATTCCCCTCCATCCTGTGTCACTTCAGCAAGTCATCGCCACCCCTGGGATATAATGCGCCCCGCCATACGATCTGGAGTCGTCTCTCGCTTATCGGGACTCGAGCAATCGATATCAATCAGGGGTGGCTGGAGTCCTGCGTTCCCTCAACACGTAAACTTAATCATGCATTATACAGTACCGCGCGTCATCTAGAATACATAGATAGCATCATGCCATATCCGTATTCACGCCATATAAGCCTACACCTTTGGCATGTCTCTTCAGCTGAACACAGAAGCTCCTTTCCAAGAATGACGCGGGAATAACGCACCCCAGGCTTGGCGATCCGAATGCATTGTTCCCCCCAGGTACAGGGCAGGAATGTGCCTAAACAGAAGCGTGGCCTCACATCGGCCAAATAGCTGTTGAGTCAGTGCACGCGTTGCCCGTGCCCTGATCTGAGTCAAATATCCTCATTCGGCTGGTTCCAGGGGCGGGCAGAGGCGCCCAAGAGATTGATTGCCCTCCAGCCTCATCGCAGATAGCGTGATTAGAGTTGGGAGGGACGAGATATCAGATATGACAGGATCTTTTAAAGCAGGTTTGCAGTTGGCCCAATATAGAACACAAAGGACGCCAGCGTCCTCCTTTGGGTTTGTAGTGACTAGTCGACGGCGATCCACCTCCCTCGCATTGTGGTGTGCGACCTCCTAGGTAGTCGTTAGCTGCAACCGACTAACAGTCGATCGCGCTGTGTGAAGGGTCCCAACGCGAGGGTTTGGAGTAGACTAGTTTGGTAGTAGTTATACCTGGTATTGACTATCATTCGTCGATGGGCAGCAGTGTCAGCTTGTCTTGGCATCGAGAGAATGAACCTATTGTTACTTGGAACCTACTCATCTGCATAGATGTACTCCGTAATATAGCGTGTAATCCACGTCAGCGCTGCGAGCATTTCAGACGCGGTGGAGCTGGTGCATTAAATCGAAGGGAGCGTAATATGAACGTTACCAAGACAGAATAAATCCATTTAGTCACATTGAAAGTGAAAACAGAAAGTGTAAAACAAAATAAAACCACACCAAGTATAGTACAAAGGGATGTCTCGCGCGCCGTATACAAATTACCTATTGAATTGTTCAGGTCTAGGGTGGATGTGCTGACCAACACACTCAGATCCGGTCGTGATGCTCCGGCCCGGCAAGCTCTCCGTCCTCCGCGAACACATGCCGGATCGCCATCTAAAATACTTGTATCTACATGTCAAACCCACCAAGCGAGGGGGACTCACTGCAAATCACATGACGGATGCAAGAATTCACCAGTGTCTCGGTTTCCGTTATACTTTTTTCTTCTTCTTCTTGACGAGAGACTTTGGGGTGATGAGACTGTTTGGTATGAAAATCCCGAGACTAATCCGCTAGCGTAATGCCTGTGCCAGATAGCTTAGAGCCCCGGGGGACTGAGAATCGCAACCGCGGGACAAGTAGTAAGAAAGACGAGACAGCAATACCCATCACGGGACCAATCGGTGCAAAACAGATTGAGGCGAAAACATTGCAATGGTACCTCTAGGAGCTGCACCCTGCAAACCCCCTTTTCTTTTCTTTCTTTTTTCTCTTTTTTTTTTCAAATTTGCAATACTGATATGTGATATCGTTTCGAAAAAGATGCTCCCTTGCCTTCGAGGGGGCCTGAACAAAACATATTGCCAAAAGAGGAAAGGCCATCTTTTCTCGAGGAAACAATCAACTCTCACGCCCAGTAAAGTGACAAAACACATATGTGCATTTCGGCTGCATATACGGCGTAGCAGCGGCATTGCTAGTCCATCCTTCGCATATATTGCATGACATACAACAAGCTCCCTTCTCATCACCGCCTGATTCAGCCTCACACGCCCAGCTGCGCCGGAGGATACTTCCGGAGGGCCACATGCATCTTCCTGTTCCCTTTTTTTCTTTGCTTATTCCCCTTCATTGCCTTTGTTTCCGCTACTGTACCATGGCGAAGCAAGGAGAAAACACGCCACTTGGGCCGTGGTAGTGCCCTCGCGAGTTGGGTGTATCATCTCACTCATTTTATCATTTATGACAGCCCCTGGGTTGGGCCGCCCGCGATCGTTCCCAGCTCACGGGGGATCTGGCGGGTCGCAGTAAAGTAATTGAAAGCTTCGGCTGATCGATGCGGACGCATAGTTTTAGCATAATTTAGCTGAAGGGAGCTGGTGACAGTCTTTCATTCAAGGTCAAGGGTTCGGCCACCGTACTTGTCTTGGAAGGGTAACCATTCTATGACTTCCAATATTACTCATCACCGCCGACAGTACTCGTACACACTTGCACGTACGAGTATGCAACCTGTACACCCTCAAGAACAAGAGACGGAGGATTTCCCGCATCCCATTTCCGAAAATAAAATATGCGGCGATTTGGGAGGAGAATTTCACATGTAAACAGCGAGGAGAGGGGCCGCAGCCCCGCTCACGGGTTGCCAACTTTCAACATGCCTTGCATCAATATTCCCCATATGTAATGTGTGATGGCCGCCTTCATTCGCCCGCCTCTGTAAGGAGAAGTGTCTGCTGGTGCAAAAGCGACACGGCACCTGCACCTGCACCTTGAGCTGTCACCACCTCCTCCCATCATCACTAGCCCGTTTGGGGCTTTCTCTTCGCATCACACTCCTCGGGAACGCTCTCTCACACACCAATTCCTCCTGCTGATTCATTCTCATGCCCAACGGGAGGAAGCGCTAGGGCGTGACAGCAGGACACGCTAGGACCTCCGGACCGGCAGCCGGGTCGCGCTTTTTGCAGAACCTTGTGTGGATACTGCGTTTGCGTGTCTGCCCCGATTCGGTTGCCCGCCGGCTTCAAGCGAATCAGGAGGGTCGCTGTCGCAGAACTCAGGGCAGGGTGTGGATGAACGGCGTCGTTTCCTCTCGTGGTGGAGTGAAGTGTGTGTGTAGAGGCTATTGGTTTGATAGCTGGATTAAAAAGAAAGCCGGGGTTGGTGGTTTTTTACAACACATGACTAGAATGATGCGGGAAACGCCAAACCCCCCTTGAAATGAGCTCCGTTTGAATGGACAGAAAAGAAGCAAATAATGGTGAGCAAACAACGCCAAGGAAGCGCTGCCTTGCTATTGAGACTTGCTGCGGCCGCTTCAGCGTTTATTCATTGGTTGTAATATACGACGGCAAAAGAGCTGTCTTCGGTAATTTTTCCCCGAGCTGAAAGAGAACATTGCTTTGTCAGGATGCTCCAAAAAGCAATCATTGGTTGATTTTCATTCACATGGGCTGATGGCAGGCCCCCAAGTCACGGGAGCTCAAGTGGCTGAACAAGCTGCAAGCTTCTGCAGCCCAATATCGCCTCTGCCTTGAGACACGCATGTCCGATCCGCTACCGTGGCGCCGTGTGTTTTGCTAGCAGGTTGTGTGCAAGTTTAACGAAAATAAACCCCCTTCCCAGATGTCTTGTTCTAACTGCCCTCCCTGCATCGCGCAAGATTTGGACAGCTAGACGATCCAATAGCATCCGATGCCGTTGCATTCGCAGCAACAAAATGCGTGGACTAGCAGAAAGCTGCCAGGTTCTCCGTAGTTTTCCGGGCTTCCCCGTTGCATATTCTCGAGGCGAACATGTCCCCATGCACGGGAGCTGAACACGTAGAGGAGGGGAAGAAAAAGGGAATAAAAAAGAAAAGAAACGAAATCAAATCTTACGCCAGCTGAAACATCGTGCCGCATCAACTTGCCATCGTGGCCCGGCTTCCCAGTGCCGTGTCTTTGGGCTCGAGCTGGCCTGCCGGGGTTGTCCTCTTGCAAGGTTCTTTATTATTCATGCGCCGTTTTTAATACGTACTTGGGCGTTAATGCTACTTCTTGCAATAGAAAAGAAGACAAAAAAAAGAAAAAAGAAATGAGGCGTCGCCTTAAAACAGGTTAATTCAGGTCGGTTTGCGACAGGTCAGCTTTTGTCCCTTTACACATACAGGTCATAAATTAACAATCGATTGATTTATTTGATTATCTATTTTATCTTGATTTATTCGCATCCTAGCCGTTCCATCAGCCGTTTTGCAGCTGTTTAATTTTCAATCTCATCTTCACGCAAACGAGAGACACTCTGATCCCGTTTTGCCGCTTCCCCGCTTTCCCCCCGGATCGTTCCATTGGGATGAACACGTCAAAAATGAGAGCCAGACACAGCAATCTCGTTGGTTAGGTAATGAATGAAACGATAACGAGCTATCTTGAAAAGCGGGCCTCGAGCTCTGTGAAGAACTGATAGGCACGTCTCCGGCTTGTCGATAAGGCGACTCGACCGTTTCGCCCTGTCATGATTCAGACGTCGGATACGTTACATTCCCTCTTTCCAAGTAATTCTTCCTGCGTCGGAGGATATTCTAGCGCATCCTGACCCCCCCTGGGGGAGGACACCTGTATCGTAGTATCGCAATGGCCTCAGTGACCCCCGTTCAGGGCAATCGTGTCGCCATTACTGCTGCCGCTAGCAAGAAAACGCTTGCTGCAATGCCGGCACTCGTTTGGGGCCAGCATTAAAGAAGGTTAAAGCATCATCGGTCGGGAAAAGCCCGAGCGGTGAGACGTGTAATACGGCCTCTGACAGGCTGGATGCGGCGTTACATCTTGTGTGGCTCTGCTCAGCTTGCCTGCATTCCGCTTACCAGGCCCGTAAATGTGCAAAAACGGAGCCTCGCAGGGCCAATCCCGCCAAAACAGGGAAAAGCAAGAAAAGCACGGGCTTCGTCGCGCATAATGCAGACGAGGGCTGTGGCGGGGAGGGGGGAGGAAACAAGAGGAAATTTGCTGCTTGATTGCATTGCCCCCGTGTAAAAGGCAAAAGGTTCGACTTTGACAGGCGTCGATTGATTTCGTTTTTTTAATTGCAATATCGCGATCCGGGCTGCCGGTCCTGTCTAATTTCCACACGCCCGGATTCTCTCGACTTGACCTGAGGAAGCTAATCGTATACTTGTAGTCGGGGAGCTTCCGCGGGCCCGAATATTTGGGAGCCATGCTGGTACCGCTAGTTCTCGCAGTTCTAAGCCTTAGCAGGGAGTTACAGGCAAAATAGCCACCATGGGCTCTTCAGCCAGGGCTAATTTCAGCCGATATTCACAAAGAGGCCTAGCATCGTGGTGAGGCCAAGAAGCCTCTTGATGGAATTACCGTACTCCCTCTTGCCGCTATTACTCCGCATTCTGAAGGAGCAAGAGAGAGGGAGAAATGGTCTCACTACTATAATAACCCCGTGGGGAAAAGGAAAAATAATGCTGCTGCCTGCTTTTGAGTCCTGAGGCCGGGTCCAATTGGAAAGGGAAAGCTTGGACTTTGTGGCGATGCCATTTTGGGCCGTGTTGATTGGCCTGCGTGGTTTTCGTCCCCTCTCCTCCTCTCCTCCTCTCCTCCTCCCTTCCTCCATGTACTACGAGCAGGTACACATGGTACAGGCAGTTTTCGCGGAGCAACAGCATAAATAGAACAAAAGCAAAGTGTGCGGCAAGTCATTGGTCACAAAGGCCACAAAGGCCACAAAGGATGCAGCACCCGTGAGCACTCGTTGGTCTGTTTCATGAATGAGAAGAAGCAAAAAGCAATAGCCCGTGGACCAAGGAAAAGTCTTGAGGTCATGCGGCGGAGAGCTATGCGTTGGCAAGCTCTGGGTGCTTGCAGCTTGTTTCTGTTCTGGACGGGTGTCCTGGTGACCCAATGGCGGCGGGTCGGGAGGACCCTGCAGAGCATTGGCTCTCCCACTCCCCTGAGAGCGAGGACTGATACCATCCGTCCAGACAGTCAGTGCAATGATATCAAATGGACCCCCTCCAAAAGGCGAGGACAGGTGACCCGACTGTCGCAGACACTCGCTGGTGCGCTGGCGCCGAGGGACTGGGTGAGCAAGGCCCCAATGTCACCCTCTCTGGCCTTGAGGTTTGCAGCCTGCGAGGCTCTGCATCGTCGCTCTCCCTCTTACCCCATGATCTCGAGCAATTGCACTGGTCAGGCGCAGCAGATGAAGCAGCGGCGGCAAGCCTCAGCCGGCGTCAATCAGCACCAGCGCCGCCATCCGGGCCGTTTCTTGATCAAGAGGCGAGGGACGGGCAGGGACAGGCAAGGCCTTGTCTGGCGGCCTGCCTCGATGTTTGTGATCAGCAAAGACAGCAGCGATTCGTACAGGGCTGGGTCACCTGGCCAGTGTGCTGGACCAGTATCAGAGCCCCCGGCCCCCCAGTCAGGGCACGTCACATCCACGGCGGCTCAGAAGCTCACTCATTTCAACGTGCTGCTGTGCCTGTAGGCTGTACGGTACGTACTCATAGCACCTCGTAGCACCTCGTAGCACCTCTCAATTCGCCGAGCGGCTCGAAGAGGGGGGACCCTTTGAATAGCCGTCGGTCCAATTGCGCGACCGTGGATTGGCCCTTTCTTGAAGCCATCTCCATGGCTAGCTTGGGCCTCTGAGAGACTGCACACAGCAATGGCGGTTAAGCCGTGAATTGAGCTCAACATTGGACAATCTCGCCTCTGCCATCTCAATTGTCCGTCACGCGTCTGTGCAAGCGAGCGTGACATGACTCTGAGAGCCTGAAGCCGCCCAAATACCGACAGTGCCATCTCGCCGGCGAGCAGCCACTGTCCCGAAAGCCGCCAGCCAGAAAGCAGCCAGAAAGCAGACGTGAAATCTGCCCTGTGATGGTTTTGTCCGGATTCGGCATCCGTCAATTCGGGAGGCAAACGGAGACCCTGGGACCGTTTCTTGGTGCAGCATGGCGAACGCAGCGATGCGCTTGGACCGTTTGCGGGGGCGAGAAAATCAACTGGCAGAGAGGAAAAAGAAAAGTGCACCGCGTGACGGGAATTGCAATTCCAGAGTCCCTCTTTGGCTGACAGCTACCTGTTGAGGCAGAGCGCCGCCGGACCAGATTGCAGCTAGTCTATAAGGAGGAATAGCCAGACGCTTTGGGACAAAGGGCCTTTTCTCTGTTGAAACGGATTCTGATGGGGGACCGTCACATGATTGTGTCCGTCGCGACAGGGCCGAACGACGTGCTGGGATGGCAGGGCTACAGAGCTGAGAGCAGCGCAGATGGACAGTTCCCCAAGTGGACTAGATGTAAAAGCAGCCGCTAATCCTGTACGGGACCCTTTTTCATGCCGCTGGGCGTGAGTGATGCCTCTTTGGGGAAAGGCCAGTATGACTGGTCGTGCGCGCTAATCTCTCCGGGGAGGCGGCGGCACCTCTCCGAACCAGCGCACAGGTTTTTGCTCGTCCCCCTTCTGGCATCTTTTGGTGCAGAGACCCCTGCCGCCAGCGCCTTTTGCCCTGGACTCAGTCCTGTCCTTTTCGTCTTGCGAGGGCCCCCACAGCGACTCGCCCACGCCTTAGCGCCAAATTTATCCCAATTGCCCACCTGGCGGCACCTCCGTGCTCCCCAACCGGGGTCACGGTACGTACCTCCGTACCCCCGTACCTGTACTGTACAACGGCCAAGGTACCATCCCCCTCCATTTCTCCTCCCACGCCCTCACGCCCACACCCCCGGGGTGGTGCCTGCCCTTGAGTGAAGGCGGTACGTCGTCTTCACTCCCCCCAATCCACCTCTTCTTAAACCTGTCATGCCCAAGATACACCCTACTTCTTAATAACTAGATCTCGTTCCCCAGCTTCTCGACAACCTCTTGATTCTCCATCTCTCCGCATACCCATACAAAGCGGGCACAACATCAACTTACTTTAAGGGCTTCATCCTCTGCTCTTGCTCAACTCTCCCTCTCGTGAGCCTTTACCACCTCTCCGAATCCGACGCCGCTCGATTCACCCGCACCGCCCCCTCATCGACGACCCATATAATACGCATTCGGCCTTTGCTCACAATCTGGTCGAACTCTCAACATCGATTGACTGCACTACACTTCCGGAGACGATTGGATTTGGTCATTGCCAGAGTCCAGACTTGATCACCGGGCAATTTCACCAGCGACACCTGTTTGCACCTTTTCGCAACATTCACCTCTCCACCATCGTGCACCCAACGCTCGACACTCTCGAGCCTCTTCACCCGGCAGCGATGCCCTACCGCCTGGATACACACGTGTTAACAGTGGATGCCAACGTCATCCACAAGGTCGACACCGGAAATCCTGCCAACTTGTATTCTATGTGGACAGGTAAGGACATGGCAACCATAGTGGGACAGTGACTTGTGGATCGATCAGTACTAACTATTTGTTTCTAGTTTTCTCTCGCTGCGCAGATTCAGTCGAACAAGGCCGCAGATTGGAGAACTTGAGCTGGAGGCTCTGGCAACGAGAACAGCTCATTGACAACGCCCACAGATCAACAGTCCAGTCTACCAAGACTGCCCCCAGAGACATTCCCTCAGAAGCCCGACTTCCCGAGCTTCCTCAACTCTCTGGCAGTGTCGACTCCCTTGCGGACGAGGACACTCCTGAATTCACTTCCGTTTCTGCTCCCCTCGAGATCCGCCCCAGAATACGACGACTAGACTCTTCCGCTAGCCGCCGGGATCGCCACATCAGCTCCGACGACTTTGAGAAGATGGTCGTCTCCATTGTCAAGGACAAGGCTCCCCTTTCTGCTCCCACACAGACCTCTCCCCTAAGCAAGCCAGTCGAGCTCATCACCCGATCTGGATCCACCACCACCGAGTCCCGCTTCTCCGAACTGCCCTCAGAGGTATCACTAGCATCTGCCGAGATGGAATCCTCCTCTCCCAAGGACATCTCCGGCATTCCCGTCTTCCAAGCTCCCCCCATGCCTTCCGCCTCAATCGACGACTGCATTCCCGAGCCCAGCTCATCACCAGCCCACAAGCCTATCCAGACAAAGAAGCAACCCGCCAGGTTTGCCCTTGGAGCTTCATGCTCCTCAAGCGACTCTCGCCAGAGCGTCGAGGCTCGCAAGTCCATCTTGGCTTCAAAGAAGCCCATGTTCCAGATTGGTGGCTCCTCTGAGGAAGAGAGTTCCCTCGCTAGCGGCCCCGCAGCGAAGCAGACCTCCTTCAGCAGCAACAACATCACTCACCACCTTGATGCCGAGTCTGCTATTGACTCCGACACCGAGGGCGAGTACATTGATGAGAGTGCCATTGACGACGATGATGACTCCTCCGACTGGGAAGACTCCATCGACGAGAGCGGAAAGCCCAGCGTCGATGAGAAGTTTTTCCAGCGTGTCGAGTCTAAGGTTAACCTGACCTCCCGACCATCGCTCATCACTTTGATGCTTGCCCAGAACGACCGTGCCATGAACCTTGGCAACCAGGCATCTCAATCTACTTCAGCTCTTACCAGGTCACGATCTCTCATGAACGGATCGTCTCTCGCTGCTTCACCCAACGACTCTGACGATGGCCCTCTTATGATGAAGGGCATGCGTCAATCAACGTTGAAGCCTATCAATGAGATTCCTCGATCCAGCGCCCAGCCCATTGTCGCCACCACCAACCACGTACATGCCCAGGCTGCTCTTTCACCACGAACAACTCGCCGCAACATGCTCGCGACTGAGCTTACCGAGTCTCTTCGACGCCACCTTCTCTGGGAGCGACAGCAAAAGTCGTCCACCGCCAATGCTGTCCTCAAGCGTCGACACACATCACACGATGTTGCCAACCTGAAGCAGTACCCAGAGAGACCGTGCTTGAAGCAGGCCGAGGATGTCAATGCGAGCAGCTGGAACCAGTACTTCACCAAGGAGGCCAACAATGGTTACCACTCCAAGGGCTGGTAAACGAACATGACCGATGATCAACTTGTTGGGCAAGGCTTTAATCACTTTTTATATATGCCTTTGGCCGTGTATATCACATTTATGGCGTTTGGGGTTTCGATTTCACATCATCATGGCAGCAACATGGGCTGCACAGGCGAAACGGAACTACGTCATGACTAAAGCGACATAAGCTTTTCCTTTTTTACATTCTTCCTTTTCTTTTCTTGTTACATCTTTGGTCTCATAATGTCTGGTTGAGACACTTCAAAACAAAAACTCATTCGCACTTTACGTGGCGTTGCTTTTCAAATGATACCATGGCCTGAGCTTTCGATTTGTTATTAGTGGCTCTGAAGGAGCTCACGATTTTTTTTTGTGTTTCAACTGAGTGTATTCTAGTGGGTCGGGAAGATGCGAGTCTCCAGGGGCGACCTTGGTCAGGGAAAATTTTTTCTTCTTTTCTCTTATTTCCAGCGAAGACATGAGCGGGGACCAAAAAAAAAGAGTCCCATGCGCGGGTCTACAGAAGACCGAAAAAAAAGAAGGCAGCAAAAGATAAAAAAGCTGAGTGGAGGCCAAAAAGAGGAGCTCCCGTGGGTCTTTTTTCTAAAACATGTGTTGTTTTCTACGAGATGATGTCAAAAGGGTATTACCAAACAAAAAGGCGTCTGTTAGATGGACAGCTTGGCCAAAAACATTAATAAATTCTTGATGAAAAATTTTCTGATCATTTGCCTGTGCCCGCGTGAAGGATGTGCTAATGACATGACGTTACAAAGTGAAATGGCGGAATAGCATGGGGTTCTCGATTTGAACCTTTGTGTTACAATTAATTGATTCCTTGACTAAAGATAATCTGCAGTACACAATACTCTGCCTCTGGGCTGACGGTTGCGTCTGCTAACAGGTACCGAGTACAGGTACAGTACGGCACTCTGCTGGTGGACCCTTGACAAGCAGCGACTTTTTGCTGCTTTGCTCGCTCGGTGCTACTACGAAACTAGGTCGATACATGCACTCTATCTTCCGCGACCTGCATGCACGTAAGATGCTTTGGGCATGAGAAAATTTTCAGTAGGGCCGTTGGCACTGACCCATTGACTCATTCCGTCCCATGGCGGTGAAGGACAAGAGAATGACTGACCAGATTCGAGCCGCCAAAGAGGCCGGGCGGCTCTTGGAAAGCCCACCGTGACTCCACAGGAACCGAATAAACCGAATGAGCCGGTGCCAGAAAAACAAGCAAGAGATGCGACGTGAGGGGGGAGTTTGGTTGGTCGGGAAGGGGGACCAGTGAGGAGGAGATGGAATGGCGGTATTCCGGAATCTCACGGCTGCGGATCGGCTACGGGGATGTCGGAATCGGGGGTGAGATGCCTTTATTCTCCTTCTTGTCTGGTCTTGACGAACTGGAGGGAAGCTAGCAGCAGCGTTTTGGAGCTAGGGCTGGAAGGAGGTTGAGGCTGAGGAACAGGGCCGCGATGGAGAGGTTCAAAGGGGGCCACGGCAATTGAGTGACTGGCCAATGGGGAGCACTGGGGACACGACGGTAGAGAGGGCTGAGCTACGGTTGTCGAGTGTGGTGACGGCAATTAGATTTATGGTGTTGCGGGGGATCTAGAATCTACAGCACGGTACGTTGTATGAATGAAACATCTGAAGAGATGGAGGGCAAGATTTGGCCCAAGCCACGAGCGAGATCCGAGGATCCGTTGGCAGCGAATTGACAGGTTTGTGGGGAGAGTTCCATACATCCATGGACAGTAGCTGGCATTTATTCTGGGGCGGGGGGATGAATTGGATGTCAAACAAAAATTAAAGAATTAAGTAAAAAAGAACCTTGGAAACGAATGAGAGGTAGTATTAATTAGTTGTGTGGCTCCAGAATTTGGGGTGGTTCTGTGAGCCGTGACCCTCAGGGTTTTTTGTGGCTTGATGCTTTCTACTGTCATTTTCTTCTGGGCGCGGCAAATGTTGCTTTTGACATGTGGGGGGAGAGCAAAGGGAAAAGAACAAGCTGCCAAAGAAGCTGAGCCTCGGTGTTTTTTTGCCGAAAAGGGGCGCGGTTGTGCCAAAGTGAGGATATAATCTCAATCATCGGGCCTCGGGATGGGAAATGGGCTGGGCTGTGAAAGGGCTGCTGCTGCTTAGTATAAGCCGATGAGAGACGAAAACGCTTTCGGTGAATTTCCGCCCACGATGTTTCCCTTTGCCGCCGTTGCTAAAGAACGAATGATTTTCGGATCGATGCGGAAGGGGCATTCAATCTTGTTGAGCCTAAGTACGCGAATGGGATGCTAAAAAAACAGGCGCGAGTTTTGTTTCGTAGATGCCTGGAATATGCGGGTTTTTTTGGGATGGTTGATGCATACACTGCGAGAGGCTAAAGGACTAGAGCCTGGATGGACGGATGCTGCATGTATAGGGGTCCTGAGGAGGCGTTTTTGGGCATGTGAATAGTGTAAAGGCAGGGCGTTACGAGTTACCACGAGTTGACCAGGTAGAACCGGGAGGGACGCGATTCAGTTGCGAGTTGTTTTGGGTGAACTGGCGTTGTTAGTTTTGAGTGCTGCCTGGATGTTGGGAGCTATTGGGATGTGCAGCTTATTTAGGCGATCATGTTTATTTCGATCTAAAGAAGCTACATGTTCTACAGCTGGTGTATCTTCTACACTATATCTCGTGTTTGAGGAGAGTCGCCAAATGCATCAAGAAGAAGAGCACGATTCAGGTACGCGAGCCGGGCACATGCAGCCTGAAGCATGCCAAGCAGCCAGCAAACGCGGCTTGCACTCTGTCCCGTGAATTGCACGTTACGAGCACGAGGCAGCAAAAGCCTTCCGAGTTCACATGGCTTTGCTGTTCCCCCATCCAAAGCAAAGTCTCCGCTTCCCCGGCAAAATTGCGTTCGCGCTTGTCCTTGACACCATTCTGTATAGCGGCTAGAGTCTGGCCTTTGGTTTTTCGCAAGTGAATTGGGGCTGGATTCAGCTAAGACGGATCCCGCGTTTTTGCTGGCTTTTGAGTTTTTTTCTTGCTCCGTATTTTCTTCTTCCTTTCCCCGGACGCTAGGAAAAACCTGGGGGCGACGTTCGGAGCTGAAGCTGAGGTTGGCCCTCCTTTCCCTCGTTTCGTTGCGGATCTGGGGAAAGCTGCGGACGGGGAATGTCAGAGTGACACCTTGGTCTGGTGGACACGAGGGACGATGTCCGAAAATACTGCCGATGGATGATTTGGCCGGCCATGATGCCGAAGGGAACAAGACATCTCGATGGATGATGAAAGTGAAGTCATAGCCTTGGGATGAGCAGCGAGCCTTGCGAGCGACCAAAGGCAGAGCGATCGAGGGAATGGACCCCGTGATGCCTGCTCCATGCTCAACGACAGGCTCTGCCTTGAGCGATAGACGAGTCCCGACAGACGATCGCCATCACCTGCCCCAGTGATATAGGGCTGCTTCTACATACATGAACATACATACATACATACAACCTTGGCTAAATGGTGCCCCATACACACACAAACCACTTACAGTACATGGACAAATGGAGCAGCCTAAATGTTGAACCGACGTGGTGGGAAGCCATTTGCCTCCTGTGTGAGGAGTGTGCCAAGTGTGCCAATTGTGCTACTCCTCCAGACTCTGATCATCATCGACGAGATCACACACGTCGTTACCCCATATTACCCTTTGCGCAAACGAAGATCCCGATTCAGCCATCTTCAGACCCCATCCGTGCTCAAACTAACCCCCCACCTACACTCGGTCACCCACCACCACAAAGACCAAAATATACTTGATGGCTCGGGCAATGGGATGAATTCTTGTTACCTGGTTTTCCCTTTCTGCGCCTCATTTCACCCCTTTGCTTTCCGTTCCCGTTTTCCGTTTCCGTTGGCACGATAGCCGGGGAAATTCTTCATGCGCCGAAGCACCTGTTAGCGGCCCTTTGTTTTGGACCGAAATTAGAGGGCGGCGGGCCCAGGGTTGGCGATTTCTTTTTCCCCGGGTGACCCCCCATGGGGAAATGACAGCTTTGCTCTATGGGAATGCCCCCAACAGTGAACGTTGTTCTTTTGCAGTTTTGGGCGATATTGCGAGAAAGCCGGCTTTTCTTTTGGGGGGAAGTATTGTCATGAAGTTTCTCAGCCTTGTCATTTGAGCACCTCCCCTTACTCATGTCCGCCCCAGCTGGCCTCCCTTTTTTTTCCCGCCTGGGAAGCCTTGTCTTGGCATATGCATGCGTGCGTGACGATACTTGGGTTTAGCTACCGCGAGTCACGAGCTGAGTAGTGCTTCAGCGCCCGGCTTACACGCAGAGACTGCCATGATGCTCCTTACGTCAGGACCGGCGTCTCAATATAGGGGTCCAAATGACTCGGACGACGATCTGTCTAGAAGCGCTACCCCGACGCGAAGAAGACGTTAAGCCGCAAATCAGAAGCCGGCCATTCTTCAGAATTGCATTTACCGTACAGTAGTTTTGTCTCACCGGAAGCTAAGCGCAGCGCCCCCGGGAGAAGGAAGAAGCAAAAATGCACGTCGGCGATGGCGTACCGAGCGCCGGTCGAGCAGCATCCTAGAACACACTTGGTCATGTCCTTGCCCCGGGTTTTTATTTTCCCCCTTTGGTGAAAAGGTTGCGGGTTAAGGGATGTTTTTTTTTTTTTCTTTTTTTGGATGGGTGCAGCATGTCGGGCTTGAGGGCTTGGATGGTCGGCTTTTTCATGCGCATGAGATTGGGCGGAGCGGTGAAGGGCGAGACATGTTGGCTGCACAGAGATGTTTCACATTATTCTATTTTAATTTAATTTATATTATTGATGAGATAGTGATGCAATGGATTTATTTCTCTGCAGCGTTTGTTATTTTGAGTGCAGATGGTCGTTTGCGTGGTGGAGGATGTATCGATCGCCAGTGAGTACACGATGGTTGCAGAATAGAGGCAATCTGAATAACAATAGTCCAAAACAAACAGTATCAATCTCTCACCAGGATTTAAAACGTTGGAACAATA